TCCCAAGACAAAATCAAGGCTTAAGTCCTCCCAGATAGAATCGGGAACCGGTAACGGCATGTACAACCCGGTATTTTGAGCAGTCCCCTTATATTTGACAGACAACACATCTCTCTATAAACCGAGAGACATCCCTCTTCATGTGCGGCCAAAAGAAACGGATTTGTAGTTGTTGTAATGTCCGATCCCGACCAGCATGAGCTGCTATTCCGTTGCAGTGCAATTCTTTTATAAATTGTTGCCTCCAAGATGATGATGGAACGCACAACGCATTTCCCTTAAAAAGGAAGCCGTGCCTGAGTGAAAAGCTTTCTTCGGGAGTCCCTGCATGACAGTTAGCCCAATGGGAAGAAAAATCATTATCCGAATCATATAATACCTTCATTTCTTCCAATCCCGTGACTTCAGTTTGCAATTGTGTGAGCAAGGCGGCTCGCCGGCTAAGGGCATCAGCCACTCTATTCATCTTTCCGGTCTTATGCTTTATTACAAAACTAAACCTTTGCAAGAAGATCACCCACCGCGCGTGCATCTTATTGATCGTCTTCTGACTGTTGAGATATTGGAGAGATTGGTGATCGCTGCACAAGACGAAGTCTTGATGAAGGAGGTAGTGTTCCCATTGTTTCAATACAGCCCCAATACCAATTCCGGATGCATCTGTATCAACCTGGAAGGGTTTTTCAAAATTAGGTAGAGCCAAAACAGGGGCCGAACTCAGAGCAGACTTAATACTTTCAAAACTGTTTTGCTGTGTGGTTGTCCAGGTGAACGAGTGTCCCTTCAGGACATCAGTAATGGGGGCCATGATCATACTAAACCCCTTTATGAAACGCCTGTAGAAATTGGCTAACCCGTGAAGCTGCGGATATCTGATAAAGAACGGGGCGTGGGCCATTCTCGGACAGCCGCGACCTTCTGTGGATCTACTCGGACCCCCTCCCCGGAAACAATAAATCCCAAGAAGTAGACGGTATTCGTTGTGAATTCACATTTGGGTAAGTTCAAATATAACTTATTATCTCTCAGAACTTGAAAAAGTTGAGTTAAGTGCATCAAGTGTTCTTCAATGGACGGGCTATAGACTAATATGTCATCAAAGTAAGAAACACAGAATTTACCGGAAAAGGGTTGGAGAGCCTCATTCATGAGCCTCATAAAAGTGGAGGGTGCGTTACATAGCCCGAACGACATGACTTTCCACTCGTAAAGCCCCTCCCTTGTCTTGAAAGCTGTTTTCCATTCGTCCCCAGGTCGTATACGCACTTGGTGATAACCACTCCGCAAGTCGAGTTTAGAGAAAATGACAGCACCATGCAACTTATCCAACAAGTTCGACACCCTTGGAACAGGAAATCGATACTTAGTAGTAATTTTATTGATAGCTCGGCTGTCAATACACATCCGCCACTAGCCATCCTTTTTTGGAACAAGCAGTGCAGGCACCGCACAAGGACTTAGGCTATGTTGGATCAACTGCCGTCTGAGTAAATCTTCAATAATTTCTTGGAGAATGGCATTCTCTTTCGGGCTCATTCGGTAATATGGCAGATTGGGCAATGTGGCTCCTGGTATGAGGTCAATCTGGTGTTGAATGTTGCGAAGCGGAGGTAATCCTGTCGGCAATTCACTGGGACCAACATCGGCAAACTCTACTAACAACTTCTGGACCGACGGAGGGATGTTCTGTTTGCTTATGCACGGGGAACGATCAACAGCAACTAGCGCCAGTATAGGAGTCTTTTTATCCGCATCTTGTAACATAAGATGTCTTGAGACAATGTAAGCAGCAGATGGTTCAGAGGGCGTTTTTCCTGCACCAGCTCCCGTCTGAGGTAGTAGCCTTAACTTCCTGCCCTTCCACTCAAAGGAATAAATGTTGGTTCTACCATTGTATACCGCATGGGCATCAAATTGCCAGGGCCGACCCAATATTAGATGGCACACGTCTATTTCGAGGACGTCGCAATCTACTTCACACAGATACTGTTTACCTATAGAGAAAGTCACTCGGCACGCCTCCGCAACCATAATCTCCACACCACGTTTTACCCAGGTAATTTTATAGGGCTGCGACTTCTTGGTAGTTTTTAATTGTAATGCTTGCACAACAGACCGAGAAATGACATTCTCGGTGCACCCGCTGTCAATCAGGAGCTCACAAACTTTTCCCTGAATCGTGCATTTAGTTCGGAACAAGGCATTACGCTGAGTAGGCTGTGGTTGTTTTGGAGCTAGTAACAACCGCTCAAGAATACAAAGAACAGGATCTCCCTCGTCTCCTGGTATGTCTTCTACGAACTCTCCTTCCTCCAAGTGATCTTCATTGCCTTCTTCAACTGGTTCCCCTTCAATGATCTGTAATTGCTATCTATTCGGGCATTCGTTCGACTTATGGCCGGGTTGAAAACACCTGAAACACTTCAAAGTCGAAGGTCTGCTATACGGGTTCTCTCGCATGAGTGCTTTCGATTTGGCCTGTAACTTGGCTTCAGCGGGGCTGTTATTAGGGGCAGTCGGGTTGCTAGTTTGCCCTTTAGCCACAGGCGAGTTCGCCTTATGCTGGTCTGTGACATTTTCATGTATAAATGGGCGTCGGTTAGAATAACTCCTGGAATTCCTTTGCATCTGAGATTCGATTTTTAAAGCTAAATTCACAGCCCGTGATACTGTCCAGACGGAGTTGAGTTCAAGCTTATCCTGAATCTGGTCTTTGAGGCCCCCCATGTACCTCGCCACCAACTGATTTTCCGACTCCTGAAGGTTATTACGAGCACTTAGGCGGTAAAATTCCTCCGTATAATCGTTCACGCTTCTCGATCCTTGGGTACAATGCTGGTATTTGAGGTATAACATCTGCTCGTAATTGGTGGGTAGGAAATGGCCTCGCAACAGTTGCTTCACACGGAACCAACTTCGCACTGGTCCACGGCCTTCTCGACGCCGATTCTGTAGGAGCTGCAACCACCACGCGCTTGCCCCGCCCTTCAATCGGCAAGCGACATACTTAACTTGTTTTTCGGGATGTATCTCCATATATTCAAAGAAGGTCTCAACAGCCCGCTTCCAATCAAGATAGTCTTCAATGTGAAGACGTCCCTCAAAGAAAGGTATGTCGATTTTCCTATTTCTATTGGATTACATTAAGGATCAGCCTTAAGCCCATATCTTTTTTACTTTAGTCATGGATGTTCTCACTAGACATTTACAAGAGGATGTACCTTAGTGTATGCTTTTTGTTGATGATATTTTTTTTGTTGATAAAACTAGAGAGGGAGTTGAAAGTAAACTTGATTTATGGAGGTCAACATTAGAGTCTAAAGGTTTCCGCTTGAGTAGATCTAAAATTGAATATATTAAGTGTAATTTTAGTAGTAATAGACCTAGTAGGGGGATTGTGACTTTGGGCAATCAAGTCATTAATAAGAGTACATGTTTTAGATATCTTGGATCTATTGTTCAGAGTCATGGTGAAATAGATCGGGATATTATCCGTAGACTTCAAGTTAGATGGTTGAAGTGGAAGAATGCATTAGACTTATTGTGTGATAGAAAAGTTCCCCTCAAACTTAAGGGAAAATTCTATAAGATGGTGGTGAAACCTGCAATGCTTTATGGTGCAGAATGTTGGCCATTAAAAGAGAAGCATAATACTAAGTTAAGTGTTGCAAAGATGAGGATGCTCAGGTGGATGAGTGGATTTACCCTTAGAGACTGGATATGAAATAAGCATATACGTGAAAAGGTTGGAGAGCTCTAGTGGAAGATAAGATTAGAGAGAGTCACCTTAGATGGTTTGGTCACATAAAACGACGGCATTCTGATGACCCGGTTAGGAAGGTAGAGGTATTAGATTTGACTTATATTAAGAAAGGTTGAGGTAGATTTAAAAAGTCTTGGTTAGAAAACATTAGAAATGATCTTTCTTTATTAGATTTAAACGAGAATTTGACTTTAACATGACACAATGGAGAAAAAAGATTCATGTAGCCGACCCCACATAGTGGGACAAAGGCTTGATGTTGTTGTTGTTAATCCTGAAGGATTATGTGATATGTAGTTGTGGAAGTTTAGATTTTTGGCTTTGTCATATAATGAAGTAATGTTGTTGCGGAGACAATGTGAGTAACTCTTGTTGAGGGGTAAGTTAGAGATGATAAAATTAACTGAATCGTTCATGTACATCAATATAATTATTAGGTAGAATTTTTATGAAAGGTGTATGATAGAAAAATAGGAAGATAAAAATAACTTGTCTGTAAGTTCTTAGAAAAAGCATTCGCTTATATTAGAGTTGTCACTACAATTAACACTCAAGGGAAATGAATGAATGCTGAATCATTAAATAATAACCAAACAGTTCAGGCAAGGCTACCCTAAAAGCTCATTGATACTGGTTGCCAAAATTTTAATATTTGGTGAATTAAAGATGTGAAACCATTCTCAAGAATGAGAAGTTGTGACTATAATTCGAGCTACATTTGTATGGTTAGGTTGACTGGTTTGACAATTTTGAGTATTGTTAGTTTTAAATATACGCCAATGTGTACCTTGTTTGAAATAAACTGAGATCCTGTTTGCTGTCAATTTCTTTGCAGATAACCAGTTCCAGGTCTAAGTTAAGGTTTTTGATCTGATTGTTTTGCATGGTCTTAGATTTGACTAATTGTAGCATAAACGCAAGTCCTTGTACCTAAGCAAACATATGTTGACCTCAACAATAACACTTAATTTCACCAGGATGAGTATATTTGGCGCTGTGCATTCTGACATGACACAATGCAAGTATGTAGTATGAATTGTATAATTTATTTATATTACCTTTTAGTAATTGAAGACAGAAGTTTTTTTTTTCCATAGCAGTTCAATATATTCAATCCTGATAATCACTAGATTTATCCTATTTACCGCCCATGTTCCTTTATTGTTCAAGTTGCTTTAATGATTTGATTTTATGACAATTTATAAATAATGGATTGTGTTCTTTTGATGTAAAATAGATCAAGGATGAGGTCAAAGGCGTGCTCGAGTTCATTAGTTATGTCTATGAAGTATTTGGATTCACTTTTGAGCTGGAGTTATCAACGGTACAACACCTTGGCCTCAACTTTATTATTTGAAAGATGCCATATGAGCATTGTCGATTTTTTTTTTGCAATGGTTTAACTCTTTTGATTTTGAGTATAGCATGTTTTATTACTTCCACCTCTTGCACATGTGATACAAGCTCATGAACCATCTTTTTGATGAAAAATCAGAGTTCATATTTATACTTTCATGTCTCTCTTTCTTTGTCTTGAGTGTATACGAGCACACATCTCCCTTAATCTATATTAATTCAATCATCTTGTTCGGATTTTAGCTCAATAATTTATTAAGGATAAGCACACATAATTTTCTTTATTTACCCTGGATGATGCTTGGAGTTTGCTTTTTTTTCCTTTATATACATGGAAGGGATAATGCTTGGAGTATGCGTGAGCAGGTGAACTTAGTTAAAATATTTTAAGAATTTGTTTGTTAGGAATGTCTTGGTTCTTGTTTTTTTGTTACTAGTTGATATCCAGTAAGCATGGAAAATTTATACTGCTATGAAGCTTCAAGCGAAGCTTCAGGTGGATTTTACATCTTGATTTTCATTTGATTAAGAAGTTGGCTATTGGGCCGCTGATAGGAAGTGCTTGTAATAATCCTAACTCTCTTGGATGAAATTAAATTATAGCAATCCCAAATACAATCTCCAAGAGGAATTAAGAGCAATAATAAGAGAATTCTTTTTAATTGATGATATACGGAAAAAAACAACAAGATACAATGGATCTTTAATTGGTGAGGAGTATCTGGCTCTCTCAAATTTCTAGTCGTCGGCTAGAGCCCAAAAATACTTAAGAACAATCTAAATTCAGCAAATAATATCATAATCCTGAAATAATCTTATTATGAGCCGTAAATAGGCTCCCCTAATTCACTCCCAAATCAGCTCCCTTTCCCTAGATAATTCTCTCTCATATTTGAATTCAAATTAGATATCTTGCCCTAAATAATTCCCTCCCAATTGTAATTAGAACTTTACTAAACAATTCCCTCTTGATATCTCCTTTCTTTCCCTAATTAATTATCTCTTAGATTTTGAATTTAAATTAGATCTCTTGCCATAAATAATTCCCTAGAGAAGCACACATGTAATTGCTCTTCTCACATCCATCTGGTTGAAAGCACCTATTCAAGCATAACTACTAACCTAATATATTTTTAAATCTTTACTTAACCATTTTTATTAAACAATAATTTAGCTATTACTATTTAATTTAACAACAGTTAACATTAACTTTAAAATAAGTTTTAGGATATACTTACATACCTGAAAATTTGGGTCTTACACCTTAGGTGTGTAAATTAGTCAATTCAAGCTCAAGCCACTCTCGACTTGAGCTTGAATATCTTATCAAGTTTGACTTTGAGCTTAATTCTACGAGTTCCAGTTGACTCACGAGCTAACTCATTTATTATGAAAGAGAGAAGCTTTTGATTCTAAAATGATATAAAAAAAATAATAAGAATCCAATTCAGATAAGGAAGATATATATAGCTTTAAACTTAATCTTTTGAATTATAAAATTTTAAAATTAGTCTATTCATGAGCTGATGAGTCGCTCAAGCTTGGTTGTTAGCTCATAAGGTTCGACTCACGGGCTATTTATCGAGCGAGCCTGAGAAGGCTTTACTCATTTAACCCCTAAGACCCCTTTTTTTTGTTTAGGTTTATTAAGTCATTTTGAGAGATTGAACTAGGTTGAACAAGTCACTGATTTTGAGATGGCGTGAACTACTTACAATTTGGAATTCACCCAAAGGCTCGAGTTGCTTATAATAGAATTTTGTTATGCCTCTCTAGAGTTTGTCCAACTTAGCTCTTAGTATTGAGCCATTGAACTCATGCAGAGACTTAAAAAGTTACCTATTATCCAAGGCTATTCATCAAAAAACTCCACAACTTGCCTAGAGTACTGGCATGCCAATTAAAGGTTCTCTCCAGAAGAATTCATTAAGTGTACTTTCCCTCTATCCGAACTTAGCCCATGTTCCTGAGTAGCAGTCGACAAACAAGACTTGCATTTTACCCAACTCATGACATCGAGTTCAATTTATATACTTTCTATATAATCTCGCTATGCAGCCATAACCCTAATTCATCCTCACTATGAGTACGGGATCATTGGTTTAGTGTGGATACATGCAATCTTGAACCTTGAGCTGAAACTCTATCACATTGAATTCTCATTGAATCTCTTTGGAAATATCTTTGAATTTTCTGTATATTTCTTTGATTGTATTTATTGCTCATTTAGGCTTGCCCTTCTCTGTCAAAGGGGGTTCAATCAGCTCTTTTAGTTCAGTAAGAGAATCATTGAGACCTAACCTCTCATTCTCTCATCTCTTTTACTCTTTAGGCTTGATTCATATTTCTAATAAGGTCTTGATATTTTTTTACGAACAACATTGGTAGCAGCATGATGCTTTTTGAATCACACTCATATTTCAGTGAGCATGGAGGGGCCATACTTTTGTGTATTTTCAAGCTCATTGCAAGAGATTGATGGTGGAATCATAAATCAGTTGTGGATGATGAATATAACTTTCTAGTAGATACATGTTCCAATGGGAACTTACGAGTTTCCTATACTTATGCATTCAATTGGAAATTTCTAGTTTTGGCTTAACCTTTTTGTTTTTATTCACGACACACTGTTATCCATTTCTTTAATGAAACATGAGTATGAGTTATTTTTTTATGTTAGTTCTTGTCGTTGTGTTCTGATATATATTATTGTGTTTATATTTAGCGTCCAGAGAAATATTTGGGTGAGATAAAAACGTGGGACAAAGCTGAAGCCGCTCTAAAAGATGCTCTTGAAGAACTTGGGAGGCCGTGGCAAGTATGTTGCTAAATGCTCTCTCAAAATTTTCATGATTGTTTTTGCTGTTTGCTCTGTTTTCTTTTCAGTTTGTTCTTGGAAAAGAATAGTTTTGGTTTTTGTTGTAGCAATGGCGTTTTTCTGAATTGCATTAAATGTTTGATGAATATGTTGGATGTGGGGGGACAACCACCATAATTTTTTTCCGGTTTGTAAGGCTTTTTTGGCATTCTGAGTAGATGCTCATGATGAGATGTTTTAGAAACTAATTGAATAATATGATTTGTAGTTTTATAGTTGTGTTCTGTTCTATCCTCACGTAAACATCCTTTAGTTAATTTCTGAATGTACAGATTAACGAAGGGGATGGTGCATTTTATGGACCAAAGATTGACATTGGTGTTTTTGATGCATTGAAGAGAAAATTCCAATGCGGAACTTTACAGGTATGTTTGACAAATTATACATTACTGTTAAAAAGAAAACTTATGAATTACTGATTTTCTTACATGTATCTTGCAACAGTTGGATTTTCAACTTCCTGAGCGCTTCAAATTGTCATACTCGGCTGAAGATGAAGGCAAGACTGAACGTCCTGTAATGATACACCGTGCTATTCTTGGTTCTGTTGAGCGCATGTTTGCCATTTTATTGGAACATTACAAAGGGAAATGGCCCTTCTGGATCAGTCCTCGTCAATCCATTGTCTGTCCAGTATCTGAGAAATCTCAGCCTTATGCATTACAGGTAATCTTTTTGATTTAGGTTAGGCATTTACGTTGTGTTCGAAGGTTTTATTGCTCTGTTTCTCTCTTTCTCTCTCTCTCTCTCTCTATATGTATAGCACGTGAAATTCTACGTAGAGTTTAAGGTTTAAGATTATAGATCATAGACGTCTTGCTAGTTCAAACCATTATGAGTAGCATTTTGTTACAGAAAATGTTCCTAAATGATAGAAATTTCATTCTGTTAAATTATATATATATTTCTGGAGAATTTGGTGCAGTATTGCTCCTAGAACATGTCTTTTCCACATATTTGGCTCCCAAGCCACATACACACTTTAAAAATTTTGGTTGACAGCTATAACTTTATGTCAGAATTGGGATAGGTCCAAGTGAAGAGTATGAAATATATCCTTTGTTTGCTTTCTTGAATGAAAAGTCATTCTGATGCTAATGGCTTGTTTGTTGAATGATTGATCTCGTCTCACAGGTGTAACATTTAGGTGAAAATGATTTATTTCTTATGTACTGAATTCATATAATTTAGTGTGGTTTTTTACCCAAGGCATCTAATTTTATAACCTTTTGATCCTTTTGTTTGAAACTTCCCCAACGACCAATGCTTTGTTTAAATTATTCTTCCCCTTTCTCGTGATATAGCTAAAAAAACCTTTTGCAGACAGTTCTATGAAAAGAATTGTGGTGGATTAACTTTATTTGTAGAAAATGTATGTCTAATTACTTCTTCATCAACTTTACTATTACCAAGTAATGAAACAGAGAATCCTTTGTAGTTCTATAGGAACAGACGGCTTAAACCGCTTAAACCGAGATTCCTTGGTAGTTCAATAGGAACAGACAGCTTAATACATCTTTTATAAAACTTTTGGGACACTTTGTGCTTTCTTGTTTTCTTGAATTTGTTTTTATCTAAATCTTCATATATTATGTAGTATCTTTTATGTTAATGTAGGTACGTGATCAGATACATGGAGCTGGTTTTTATGTTGATGTTGACACAACAGACAGAAAGATTCAAAAGAAGGTACAGTTGCTATTATGCTTTCATTTGTTGATTCTGCCATGTTTAAAGCCTGCATACCATACTACTTGAACAACTAAGAATTCATACGGCTTAGTTAGTAAATTTGTTTTAATTTTTTTTTTTCACTTATTTCCACGGCAAGTGCTACTTGTTTCTATGTTAATGAAAAAAAAAAAAAAAATCCAACGTAATGCTCGACTATTGATATGTGGCAAATTTAAACTCAGAGAATCACATTTCTCTAATTTGGCCCTCGATTTTGCAAAATTAATCCCAAACTGTTTTGCATGGCATGGATTAAGTTGGGATCAATTTAGTATAGTTGAGAAACTAAATTAGATTAATTTTATGTCCCAATTTCCATCGATTTTTGTCTCAGGGATCATTTATGATCAATTTTATATTGTCATGAGACTAAATTGGAGAAATGTAATTGTGTATGACTAAAATGGTTGAATACAAATTGTCAGGGGCTATTTTGGACTTTTCCATTCTGTTTTTATGACCCCAAGCTAGTAGCATTTGGCATCTTTTGCGGAAAGAAAAGGCAAAGAACTTTATGAAATTCTGTTCAACCTTTTGTTCAGTCACAAAAAAAGGGTTACTCCAGAAAAAATGCACCACCCTTTTTGTTACTTCATCTCTGCATTAGTTCGAGAAGATAGATATTAGTACGCTTTAATGTTTATAAACAACCTTCTGTTTTCTGATCAAATTTTTTCTACGATTGCTTAATGTCTATCATCTAATAAGATTGTTACTGTGAGTTTAGTATTTTTTGGTTAATTTACCACATCCGACTGACTTTTCTTTTTGGACACTTCATCATTAGTTTTCACAGATTTTAAATCCTTGTGATCATAGTTTAGAATTCATTTTTCTCAGAAAAAGTGTTTTTGATAATAGCCTTTCGTATTGGGTCTTTTTGGTTGTATTCATTGTAGAAAATGTAAATTTATTTTACTCCATAATTTCATCATTAATTATTTGGTTTCAATGAAATATTTCAAAAATTAGATTTACCTTGGAAATGTGGGCAGTTTTTTTTTCATCAACAATTCATTTCTTAACCCTATTGTAAAATATGAAAAAAGAAATCACCATTGAGTCTCGCATGTTTCCTCATAAAAAAAACAAAAAAACTCAATTTATTTTCAACAAAATAAGGAAAATAATTTTCTATACTCAATTGCTACTCTACTAAACAAGTGGGTGAAAATCAATTTCACCTCAATTCCTTCTATCATTTCCATTTCCTTTTCATTTCATCTATCTTCAAACCGCACAGAACCATAAAGAGTGTACTGAAGCAAATAATAAGGGCAGTGTGAATAGCGGCCATGTTTTTGTGCCAAGAAATGCAATCATGCTTTTCAATCTTGTGCAGGTACGAGAAGCTCAATTGGCACAATACAATTTCATCTTGGTTGTAGGCGAAGAAGAAGCAAAGACTGGACAGGTTTTTCCTTGACCAATAATTTTGTAATAATCGAAATTTCGCCTTATTTCCTTCAATTTATTGAACTATCGATGCGGTCCTTAAACTTTCCACTGTTTATAAAAAAGCTCCGCGAGCAAGAATTATCAGCAAATATTCCTTGAGAAACGTTGAAATATTTAATTAAAAAAAAAAAAAAACTGGTGTGTTATTTATTCAATAGTTTCTCCATGATCAGGTGAGCGTTCGCGTAAGAGACAAATCAGAACATTCTGTAAGGAGCATGGAGGATCTTCTTAAACATTTTAGAGAGGAAGCAGCAGCTTACCACTAATTGGAAATTTTGTTTTGTATACCCTGTTGTTGTTCCTAATATTTATGGCGATTTTGCACCCATTTTAACATTCTTTAAAGCAAATGTTGTTGAAAGTCTCTATATTTAAACTGCAATTAAATATAACGATGTTGATGAGATTAATGATATTATCTTATTTAATACTCGTATTATTTTCGCGGATCAGTAAAACAAAAAAGAAAGAGTTGCAAAGTCGTCATTGTTTTCTTTATTGGGAAATTTTGAGCGAACTTGCTCTCCTGCGAGAGGGCGGGGAGTCGCTGTTAGACAATGGCAGCCCAACAACCTCATATGTTTGATCCCATTCTGCTCAGTGTTATGAATTACTCTTTTGAAGCTAGGGCCATCTCTAACCAAAAAACTCATTTTCCACTTGGAAATGCAGTAACACCCTCATCTTCAACCAAACTCAATTTTTTTAGAAAAGAATTAAATATTTTATGTATATTCCTTCTCAAATGAATTTTCTATTAAAAAAAATGTGTCGGTGAACAGTGCGACGTCAATATTGAATTTGTAGTTGGATAGTATACCGTGTAAAGTGCACGATTGGAGATAGCTTAAGCAAGTTAATACTTGGTATGAATGCTTATAAATGAATATATATTGCCAGAAATAAAGGCTTTAAATATGCCTCTTGTCATCTGCTGTCTTTATAAAATACTCAGTTGGCACAAGTGATAACCAATTGTGCAATATTTCCTATATGCACTGTTGTTTAAAGATGCACGATGGCTAAAGATGAAAGATTTGCTTGTACTGTACCGAATATGTTCTTTTATTGGACCATCTAAGTTGTTTCAGTTATTTATTGGAGTCTCCCTTATTATTAGTGATTAGTCCATCCCCATCTAGTTAAAAATAAAAAAAAATTGATACATACTATTCGGATTGTGAGTATACACACTATATACAAACAGTGTGTGCAAAAAGTTGATACATATTGTTTACAAATTTGTATTGTGTGTATACTCATATGTCCGTATAATTTTTTCCATCTGGACTCTGCACAGAATAATTTTTACATAAGATGATACTTAGTACAATGCTAAAGAGATGAGTGATATTTCTGATCAAATCACAAAGAATATGTTTGGTTTAAGGAATTGGATGAAATGTATAATTTTATATTTGCTGCTTTGTTTTATTGTAATTAATAAAATTTATATAATATATTGGGAATGTGAATATCGATTGTTTCACTGATAACTCCCTACCAAATTACTTTGAACAATTGAAAGAAAAGTTTATCATATTGTTGTTGGGGCTCACATTTTCCTTCCTTGCAAAGAAGCTAAAGCTCAAATTCTTTTTTTCATGCAATTTATTTATTATTCATTTTCCTTTCATTTCCTTTCTTCAATTCCTTCGAATCTAATTGATTCAAAATGTTTGCCAAATGAATGCCAATCTATACGGCTGATAGGATATTAAGAAAATATTTAATTTATAATGGTGCAAAGTTTTGCATTTATGATTCAACAAGTTATTATACTTTTTAACATTAAATTTTTGGGAAGGAACAAGCCTTATACTTACATTAAGAGAAGAAATGTTGCTATGAAATTTTTTAAAAATGATCAAATTGCCACCTTGGTAACTAGTCATTGCAACATGGGCAATGATTATTTGCTTGGTCAATGGTTGAGTACTGCTTATTATTTTAGAATGAGAACTAGGTGGTGATTAGAAGTGTCTAATATTTTATTATTATTATTATTATTATTATTATTATGGAAGTTTTTTCCCTCCGAATTTTGATTAAAATCTGCCTAATCTTATTGAAATTCTAACTTTATGAATACTTTTGATTGAAATTTTTTTGGCTAACTTATAACTCATTGTGCTTGCATGCAATGAGGCTTAATGATTTTGGTTCTTTATGTATAATAGGACTTCTTGAACTACTTTGTGGACCACTAAACTACTCTTTTTTAATGTTTTTTTACTATTGTTAGTAGTTGTTGGTAGAGATACATAGAGGAGGTATCAAGCGTGAGTTAGTTGACCATTACTGGTAATTAAAAATATTGATTTTTTACTTTGTCTAAGTTAGAGGCTTAATTGTAATGGTGATTGATGTTCAAGCTATTAAAAGTCAAAATTATAATATTTGTGGAATAAAATTTCATTAGCAGTTAACATTTGAAATTTTTTATCTATGTTAAATAAATATTTGAAAATATATCTATCATGGAATATACTAGAAGTATCTATATATTAAATCGAATTGATTTTAAGCAAGTCATTTTCAGTCGAAGAAAATAAATTCTAATTTTGAGGGAGTAAATTTTGAATTTCGTATATTAAATGTTGATATTCTGAACTGAAAAGATATTGTGATGCCTACATATGATGGAAATGTTAATCTTTTATTTCCAATTCACTATATTTTCATGTTACTATCATCCCTATTCCTCAATCCCTTCGACAATATTTTAATTTTTTTAATTTTTGGTAATTTGTAAGAGTTAATATCTCTTCATGCTTAATTTTCTTAATAAACCCTTGATTATATTCGACCCTACATGAATTTATCATGAATATGTAACAAGTTTGCCTTAAATCACTGCCACATTGGTCGGTCATTTAGTTATAGTTCCTGTGGATAGATCTTTATTTTGAAGTATGAGAGAGTTGTAATAATAAATCATAATACTATTTAAAGTCTATGTAAATAATAATTTCAATAAATAATAAAAGGTAAGAAAATACATTTATTATTTTTTGCCAAAAAGTGAACAATAATGCAATAATTCTTAATTATAAATTTAGTGAAGATTTGAAGATTAAAGAGTTTGAAATATTAAATTAACATTCATTTATAGATCACATAATGCATATACATGTCTCATTTGTTTCTTCTTACACCTCTGCTGAATGGCATCAGTGCTCAATGTATAATGATTCAAAGCACATACGGGATGATCACTTAATTTGTGCGTTATGTGATGTGCATCATCTTCCTTATCAAAATTTTTATTTCCCTAGATGTTTACAATGCTTTGCTATAAATATAAGTGTGATGCTCCAAATATAGGAAACTACATATTTCTCATCTCCATTCATATGACGATCATCAAGCTTTACATCAGCTTTAGGGAACAAAATAACCTTTAAGTTTTAAAATCTTCTTCTTTTATTTTAGGAGAAACATTAACTATTAACCCTAAAACAATATCCTTGAACAAATGGTGGGTTAGAGTAAGATCTTAACATACTCCTTGGGCTTCTCAAATATTTTTTGATCAAAACTATAGTTGTCTCTCTTAAACAAAGGTCCATGTCCTTATTGCTATCATGGCCCAAAGAGATATTAAACTATGGTTACTTGGATTTAAATTCATTGTAGCTTTCATTGATGAACTTACTACGTGTGATTTTTCCTCCAAATTGGGTTCAAAATCAGCATTACTCAGATGTAGATTAATGAAATTCATTAAGTTCATTAGAATTTTTTTAAAACAAGTGTAATTATTATTATCATTATTTAAGTCATCCATATCATTCTCATCATATACATATAATATATACTCATAATCCATTTCATTGATCCATTTGTTCCCTAACAAACAAAGTAAAAGTCCGGCATAGTAAAAGAGATAATGGGCTATACCCCAGCATCTGTAGTGAAAATATTCATATTTTTCACATTTTTGTTTTATTCTTTCTTCTCCTATATTACTTTTATCATGTTTACTTGGGCTTCCACTAACTTCAGAGATGAACTCATCCAATGTTGATCTAAAAAACTAGTGGATAAAATTGAATAATAGGTCTTTTAGTTTACTTGGGTACCTACCATGAATATTGATATAACTTATTTAACAATTTTTTAGGCAAACTAAACAAGGCAACGCCCCAGACATCATAAAAGTAAGAAATATTAACTTGAACAAAAAGCTCAGTAGAAGACAGTGTAATGGATGCTTGTTCAATGTCGACCAAGTATTTATAAGTAATCATAATCACCCCTACCTTGTGATTTCTTTCTAATCAGTCCTTGAAGGTGTAGAAGCTTCAATTACGTGCCTAAGCACGTAATGGTATCAGTAATAGTTAGGATCACTAATTTTGTCCATCTCCTTTAACTTTGTGGACTTAAGAAACATGAAGTCCACTTTTTTCATTAAGTTCTTGAAGATTTTTGTAATTTCCTCTCTCTTGAAATAATAAGCCTAGTTCATTATTTTACTAAAATGAGCTAGGAATTCCTTCCTTTAGACTGATACCTACTGCTACTATTGATGTCATTATTGTTGCTTTTGATATTCTTGAGGTGATCTATTGACTTATATTTTCAATGGTTGTTATTATTTATCAACTATTGAAATACTGTAAAATATCTTTTTTCAATACCTATTAACATTTTTGTTTCTTGAATTTGCCACTAGTTGCTCCTACAAAAAGGCTAATTATGACGATTCTTCTTCAAGATTAGATGATTTGCTTAACAATTTCTCAAATGTCTTGATGATGAACCCCTTTAAGGGAGTGTCAATAATCCATGAATTTTCTTCAGCACAATCACAATCATACACAACTTCTAAAATTGAGGTTCACACTTCATACTTATACTTCTCCACTTCTGGATGTAATTTACTAATGATTCACTTTACTTTTGATTCTCCAACAATATAATGTTGGTCACTTTGCTTTTGATTCTCCACCACCTAATCAATGACAGTAATATAATGTTGGGTCCCAAGAAATCTTTTCATGAATGAATTTTTTAATTTAAGAAAATTTTTCCCTGAACCATTTGACATTTATACACGTCATTTGAATGTAACCCTTGATAAACGACTTATGAAGTATGTAAATAGAAGTTTATCACTTCCTTTGGCATTAAAACAACTTACTCTAAGATGTCCTAGATGATGTCTTGGGTTCACTATGCAATTGAACTCCTTGAAATAAGGTGGTAAGAATATATTTGGGTATTAGATCACATCACATTATTCTAAGTAAGGTTCATCATTTGGAATAGTGTTGACCCCTATACACCAAACTACGTGCACCGATGAAATACACCACTTGAAAGGTCAAACAACCTCTAATTTCCAAACATACTATGTCGTTGCAATCAAGATGTTGAATTCGCCTATATGGGGACCCCTCAAAGTCAAATCAAATGAGTTTGGTCTAAAGGGATGA